CTTGTAACCTATCTTTGTGGCTGACAGTCCATGACCAGAATCCAGGTAGCGTGTGAACGCTCAGCTTCTGTCTCCTCCCAAGTGTCACTGTCGTTCACCCCTCCTTTCTCTCTTTTCGTTCGCAGCTCTGTTTTCACTGAGTATTGTCCTTGGATGTCCCTCGTTTCTTACAGCAAATAATCTTGGTCATACATCCACTCAGTTAGGGTTCCTGCTTAAGATTTTATCGGACAAAACGCAAACTGCAGCTAGAAAATGTTTTGGGGACCAAGAGCTGTGAAACACTACTCATCTGTTCGCTTCAGTCGCTTTCAGTTTGAAATGGTCGAATCACTTACTGTGTTACTGTTTCCACCCTTGAAATGACAACGCAACACTTGTGATGTGACACAGAATAAGATTCAGCTCGAAAGTTGCCTGTGAGTTTGTCTTAATTTACATTGCTAATTAGACTTTTCTTGCAAATCAAAAGTTGATATGACAGTTTTATTGTATATCAACAAACACCCTGTAATTGTCTGCCTCATTTTCATATCCTGCATAAACAAAGAAAGAAACACCATCATTTCTGATATCTCAGGAATGTAATAACATTTAATGTTTCTGTGCTTAGCTTTAGATTTGCACATGTATTTTAGAGTTACATGCATATTTACTTAAAGAACTTTCTGAAGTGTATTGATCGGAACAGAGCCCTTTGCAATATTTAAAATTTTGGATTTTTCATCAGTTTTCAATAATTGCATGGCATATAAATTTGTAAATTTGTAAATTGTCATATCATTTATATACATTTTTTAAAAGTAAAGTAGCATTTAGACTTCGCAATAATTTCTACAAAGAAAAAACATTTGATGATTACTCGTACCATATAAATATGAGCAACGTGAACATATATAATACGTATTTACAACAAGCAACTATTCTTGTCATCTTGTCGTTGTGTCTTTTGCGTATCAGTAAGAACATAGCCTCCACTGCCCACCAGTAATCTACAGTGAGTATGAATTAAATTAAGTGTTTTTTAAAAAAAAAAAAAAGTAATTTAGCCAATTTTTTTTTTACTCCATAAGTGCATCATACTTTGGGGAAGCAAAGTCTTATTTTGGGATTCCTTTAAAAACAGTGACATATTTATTTTGTTATTAAATATAATGGAAAGCTGAGGTCTTACAGTATGATGCAGAGTTCAAGTGAGAAAGATGAGCAACATTTATTGTATTCATCCATATAGACAGGAGCCTTTGTCAGTCTGTGATGAAGTGTTGAGGTGATCCTAGAGAGAAGGGTATCAAATGAAGCTTGCATTAACTGATAGCGGATTACTCCATGTCAACCAGAGACAGGCATCCTGTTGGTGTTTGAAAAACTTCCAGCGATACGGTGCCTCACATGCTTTTGTTGATGTGACCTCTATCTTTGTGTGCGTGTTCGTGTGTGTGTATGGCACTACAGTGAAAGCAGAGACAGGTTAATGAAAGTAATGACGAAATCTTATATAACATGGGGGATTTTCTTACCTGAAGGGGAACACCGGTGGAATACAAGAACATTAACTCCTTCTCTCTCTCTCGTCCACTGTCTGGCTCTCACAAACGAGCACACCCACAAACGTGCACAAGCACCACCAGTGCACGAAAAACATGAGAACACACGATTTAAAATCCCAGAATGTATTGCATCTACGTCACAGTAAATCATACATGATATCATACATACAAATACAGTGTAATGGTCTTGTTGGTGTCATGAACTCTGGTCTGCTTCAGCCATGACGATGCCGGTGAACTTGTTGTGTGGTTGAACAATGATTTTACAGATGAAGAACTGACTATATCAAAAACTGACATCATACTGTCATCATAATTGACAATATCGCCATGAAGCTGATGGTCAAACACACAGAAAACATACACATACATCAATGTAGTGGCAAGAAAAAGTAGGGGAAGGCTTTGGAATTGTTTGCATTTCTGCATACATTTGTCTTAAAATATGGTACGCGCTTCCTTTAAGTCACAAATATGAATGAACACATTCTAGTAACACACAAATTATTGTGTTGTTCTTGTTCATGTAGAACATTCAGTGAACTTCTACATATGATTTCAACAAAAGCTACCTGGAGTCAGAAGTTAGTCGGTTAGTTAGGGTTGAATTTACTTTTCACTAGAAGCAGGTGCTGATGTGAGCCATGGCTAAAATACAAGGGATCTCATTAGACTTACAATCAATAATTGCCCACAGAAAGGCAAGCTGTAATTAAAAGGAGACAATTTAATATGGTGGCTACTCTTCCTAGAAGTGGGCACCCAACTAAGATGGCCCTATCCAGAATGCTCAAACTCAGTGAGGTAAAAAAAGAAGCCCAGATTAAGGCTTGTAAAATAATTGGAACTGGTTATGATCTCTGTGAGTATACCATACATGATTACATGGAGCATGGTGTTCCATCCGGCCACGCCTGAAGTTCACCAAAGACCCATCTTGACGCTGCACAACACTGCTGTAGAAATATTTTTGGACTGTTGAAACTGATGCTGCACCGTTTACCAGCATTAAAACATAATCCCAAAGCACGGTGGAGGCAGCATCATGATTTAGGACTGCTTTGCTGCCTCTCGGCTTACACAGCTCATCATCATCAAGATAATAGAATAGAATAAAACTTTATTGATCCCTTCGGTGTAAACCTCAGGGAAATTGTTGAAAAATTGAAATTGAAATTGTTGAAAAATTGTTGATAAAAGTGAATCCCCAAGTCTATCAAGTCGCTTACTTTCTCCAACAGCACTGGCAATGTCCTATAGGCAAAGACATAAAAGGTCATGATTGTTTGGGTGTTACTAGTTTAAGCACATTTTGCACTCTTCACTTAAAGAACAGATCACAATGTATGACCACGCATTGCAGAAAACCAGGTAATTCCAAAGATTTCACATATTTCTTTCGTGCCACTGTCTGGTGTTAAGTTGGTGCTAAAGCAGAAATGCAGACACTACACAAGTCTAAAGCTATTTTGAGATAATATATTTCCAGTTTAACATGTCACTTACATTCCAAACTTTCTTCTATAATTGGAAAACAATTTATAAAATAAATCCTTGTAAAACATACCACCGGTAAGTTACACTGATACAGCATAATTTACAATTACTTCTGAAAAATAAGAGGCATCATAGGATATCTTGGCCTAATGTCCCATGGCCCTATAACAGTTTGTTGCCCTTATTAAGCAGTTATCTTTGGCTTCCTGCCTCCTTTTCTCTTTTGCTTTCTTATTGTTTTTCCAAAATTGATGGATGTATTTCTATGCACTGACAGAAAGGAAGATGCTTCCAACATAAAATTCCCTTTTTGGAAGATCAATTTGTACCTCATCAACAGATAGGATCTATTACAATTTCAATACTTTATATTGTGCTTCAGATCAGAATAAATGTGTTATTTAGACATTATTTTAGAAAAGACAATTCTCACAAAACAAATGCCAAAATGGGGGACAGAATGGTTACAACGACTGCAGTGTCACCCGAGCTGAAATCAAAAATACTGAGCATACATATATGATAAACATAGGTATTACAGAACGACTATATATGGCAAATTCAGTAGTATTCCAACATGACATAAATTAAGGCACTCCAGTATAATACATGATGTGGAGTCAGTTAGACTGTTAGTGGAGAGTTCTTGCACACCTGCACTACTTGTTGGACAGAATAAATAAATATACATGAGAATCGTAATACATTTTACAATAAATAAATAAAATACAGCAGGGCTACGATCTAGACACTATGCACAGGTTACTCAAGACACTTGAGGAAAATTGTGATTAATTTTTTTTGTTCATTTTTTTTTATTTTTTAAACAACCTTGCTCTTATTTCTTTTGAACTGGCCATCATTCCTATCATTTTCCAACAACAAGCAGTTGCTGCTGCATTTACTGGAAACCACACTTCCAGCAATGTTTTTAAAGATGACATTGCAGGAATTGTCGAATATCCATGTCAGTGGGTTACCCAACCTTCTACAACCCTATAACTCATCATAAAAATCTGATGATTTATTAGTTTTCCAGCAGCAGGAAGCTCATTAACATAAACTGAACCATGGAGTGGCTATGCAATGCAATTCTAATCACATGACATTAAAACAGTGAAGCTGGTGAGCAAAATGTCATAAACAACAGGATTAATGGCCAAGGAAATGAACGTAAGACCGAAGTTATATAAAAAAACCCAAAAAAAATCTTAAATGTAAAGTATACAATAGAAGTAGACCACTGTGCAATATCACTTCAATGTCAAAAGATTTAAAATTGTATTCCCTTTTAATATTATTAAAAAAGAATATTACAAAAAAAATAAAAATAAGCCAAATACTGCTGCAGCAATAATTTAGGAGGTGTAGAATGAGCCTTAGTACCACTAAGTGGCCGTCCTAATGAAAATGAAACAGTTTTCTGACACCTCAGACAGTGAGAAGGACTGTTTGTAATGCAAAAAACCCAGCTAGTTTTCAATTATATGTAAGAACAAATACGCTACTGTTAAACTGTCACGTAATGCAGTTACTGTAAGGTGATACAATTTTGAATTATTTTATGTTTGAATGATATTGCACATATTGTTGTATACTATATATGCTGCCAAAGTATGACAACGTGTTTTACTCTGTCTATATGCAACTAAAATGCCTAACATTAAGTAAACTTGAAATGTGCTGACATCAATTCCTGAACATGGTAAATTCTTCCACTTTAGTTATTTTTAGTGTCATTTTCAAATTAGACACAAAAGAGGTAAATGTGGTCCAACCTGTTTATCTTTGTAAAACATATATTTCAAAAGACGCAGTGAATATCTTATTGATCCCATTAGACCACTTGTCGAGTGAAATCATAACAGTAAAATATTCTCCATATTATCTTCTCTTCTGAATTCCTGCTTTGTGGCAAAGTTTGTCCTTCCCTTTAACAATGTTCTTCTACAGTCATTTCCCATTGTCAGTCTGCCAGATGCCATTGGCTTTATTGAGTGATGTATTACTGCCCTGTCTGGTACTCGTCTCAACATGCATGGCTTGCTCAACAGCATCTGCCAGGGGCAGCTTGTCCTCTGCTTCTGTTTCTCTGTGGTAGAAGTAGTTGAAGTTGGAAACAATGACAGGAACAGGCAAAGCAATGGTCAGCACACCTGCAATGGCACACAAAGTGCCCACCACCTTCCCCCCCATGGTAATGGGACACATGTCTCCGTAGCCTACAGTGGTCATGGTAACCACAGCCCACCAAAAGCCATCAGGTATGCTGACAAACTGTGTGTTCGGCTCATCTACCTCAGCAAAGTAGATAGCACTGGAGAAGAGGATGACTCCAATGAAGAGGAAGAAGATGAGCAAACCAAGCTCACGCATGCTGGCCTTCAGAGTCTGTCCCAAAATCTGCAGCCCTTTGGAGTGTCGTGAGAGTTTGAATATACGAAACACCCTGACCAGGCGAATGATACGCAAAATGGCCAAAGACATGTTCTGTCCTGAGCTCTCCTCTGGGGTCGTGGATATTTCTGTAAACACAGTGACAAAATAGGGGATAATGGATATGATGTCAATGATGTTCATGAGGTTGTGGAAAAACTCCTTTTTGCTCGGACAGACCAAAAATCGTACACACAGCTCAAAGAAGAACCAAGCAATACAGGCAGTCTCAATGATGAAGAAAGGATCAGAGAAAGTTGTGGGCTTTACACCAGGTGGTGTCGCAGAGGTGTAACCTCTAGTTTGGTTGAAAGGTTGTACTGCAGTGGGCACAATTGGATCAGTGTCGTCTCTGAATTCTGGCAGCGTTTCCATGCAAAAAATGATGATGGATATGACAATGACAAAGACAGACACCAGTGCTACACCTCGTGCTGCATTGGAGCTCTCTGGGTACTCAAAAAGCAGCCAGAATTGCCTATACACATCATTATTAGGGAGCGGAATCTCAACATCTTTGATGAATCCTTCATCTTCTCTAAACTGCTCCATGGCCTCGCTTCCAAGCTGATAGAACAGAATTTCATCTGCAAACACATCAAGGGGAACATTTGCAGGTCGTCTGACCTTACCCCCTGACTGGTAGTAATACAAGATCCCATCAAAGCTCGGTCGGTTGCGATCAAAAAAGTATTCATTTCTCATTGGATCAAAGTAGTCCATCCTCTTCAAAGGGTCTCCTAGAAGTGTCTCAGGAAACTGGTCTAATGTTTTAAGTTGTGTCTCAAAACGAAGACCTGCGATGTTGATGATGACTTTCTGGTCACCATCATCCAGCCCTCGTTTGTCTACGAAGAGATCTTCACAGCACTCCTTAGCGAGCCGGTTGAAGATCGTCTCACTCTCCTTAGTGCCCTCACTGTTTAGCAGCAGTTTCCAGTTAGAGATCATGCTGGCACAGCTGCTGCGCCCTTGTCTGCCTGGAGATGGCATTGTTGGGGACTGAGGTACTCCCAATGTCTGTGTATGTGGAATAGGTGAAGATGACGTGGATTCCCAAATGCGGGTGGGCACGGGGCTGTACTGGGAGGGTGTGGAGGATAGTTGAGGGGCTCGGAGAAGGTAGCTGCTGCCTGGGCTGCTGTGTTCTGGGGGTATGTCCACAGTGAGAGCTGTGGTCTCGTCTGCATAGGTGTCCACCTCATCCTCAAGGCTGGCATTAATGTCATCCAGACTCTCAAAGTCTACCAGTGCCACCTCCATGATTGTGGTCGAGCCAGCGTAAAGCCTTGGGACACCAGGATAAGATAATCACACACCGACTGACAGATGGAGGGCTCAGTCAGCAGAATCAGCAGCAGCACACCAGAGCATCCAGTCTTCAGCAAGACTCACAGCACACAAAGAAAGCTCCCTCGACTCTTTTCCCCCTCCAGTACCTGTAAAGTTAGAACCAGAGAGATAAAGAGAGTCATTAAGTTTCTGTTCATAGTTTAGGGTTTCTTCTATGTATTAACTGCCATCAGGTCACAAGAATATCACATCAGAACAAACATATTCTGTCGTGGTTGGTTGTTGCCATCTCTTTGGAAACAGACAGTGATAGAAGTGGAAGAAACAGTGATAAAGGAAGACAGAGAAGGATATGTACAGTATAGTTAACAGATAAAATTAATAGGAGATTATAACAGTAGTGAAAGATGTGATTTTAAAAAAAAAAAGCAAAAACATTGTAGTAAAGTTGTGACTTGTTTCAACACTGTTATTGTGGAGGCACTGTGATGAGTCATGTAACTGTGAAATAGGACAACAGCAGACAAAATACAACAGAAATGAAGTATTTTGACGTAAGTGTAGCAGAGTTTTATTTGTTACATGTTGAAATATCTTTGACCAGTCAAGTCACTTTGTCAAACTGCTGACGTAGACTTAGATTGTCTGTCCAAACAATGGAACAGGCTCCTCCAACTCCATTGCACATACTCAAGATCACAGCAGTTCAAACACTTGGATACAACATGGGCACACATATTTGTACTTTTGCACACACACATAAACAAAATCACAGACATAACACCTGCTCAAGGGAAAGGGAATCAAGGTGCGCACCCTGCAGTGACCCTAACACAGGTAGTAGGAGCCTAGAACAGTGCAGAGTAACTGGGGCTGTGCATACATTAGTGCATAATTAACTGGCTGTGCAGTGATAGCATGGACCGAGCTTCTTTTAAATACCAGGGATCACATTTAAACTGCACTGAGCCGCGTTATTGCTGCTAGACGTGAGACTGAGCATCTTATCTGTTCCTGTCTTTCTCCATATATGTTTACATCTACCTGACCCCGTGTGACTTTTTAACAGTATAACGATCGCATTAAATAGTAATCTGATCTGTGAGGTGTGCATGCACTAGAATGTGCTGGTCTGGATGTGCACCACGCTGTGTGTTTGTGAGCTCATACTGTACGTGTGTGTGTGTGTGACCCAATGCTGACGCCTGCAGATGTTTAATTAAAGACTCCAGAGATGAGTCACCACCTAAAACCAGTGCCAGTGATACCAATCCTGCTGGGAGAGAGAGAGAGAGTGTGCGAGAGAGAGCGAGAACAAGAAGGATGACATGAAAATTGTTGGGAAGACGGATGTGGGTGGAAGCACTGGGCGGGACGAGGTCAGCGTCGCAAAAGAAGGAAAGTGACAATGCAACAGAAAGGGAGTTGATAGGTGGGTGGATGGATAGACAGGATGATGAGAGAGGACCCCTAACAAGGGAAGAAGGGTGAGTTGTCTAGAGAAGAAGAAACATTTGACAAGGGGATGGAAGGAACAAAGACTGTGACAGACCAAACAGAAGGAAGGAAGGAAGGTTCATTTCAAACTGGAAAAGACATTTAATGTGAACAAGGTGAAAGTTTAACCAGATTTCAAGTAGGATTGCAACACCTTTCACATAGACTGAAGTTACAGGAAAAAAGCTGTGTATTGGTAAGATGGTGAATTAAATCAAAGCTTCCTCTCCTCTCCTCTCCTCTCCTCTCCTCTCCTCTCATTTTCTTGTGATCCTAAAATAGAATCAAAACACTAAGTCAAGACACTTGCTCTCAGATCAATAGTTGGAAATCAGTGATCTTGCTCTGCTCGACCAATTCCTAATGCTTTTCCAGTAATTCAATGTGCTATCAATTTGAATGTTGCCTATCGCAACAGAAAGAACTACCAACACCTAAAGGTTCGTCACTGAAAGTAATGGAATGACATACGACTTCTCTGACTCTCCACAAAGACGAATGGTTTAAAAAACAGATGGAGATGTAAAGCTGATGCAGGCATTTACTCTTAATTACAGTAATGCTCAAGATGTGCTGAAAGCGACAGGCTTACATTGCCATTCCGCTGACCCTTAAAACAGATTAAAATGTTCTAATGATTACTAGCTTACTAATGTAATTTCAAAAGCTGCAATCGCAAATTTGCTCCCTGGACCCTTTATGTTACAGGAAGAAACAGTGTAAACTTCCCAAACAAGCTGACAGACAGAATAATAAACAAGCAACGCACACCTTACCTTAAGTTGCACGAGGTTCTCGCACCATGTGTGTACAATTTGCTGTGACGAGGATAATTAGAAAAAGGCCCTCTACGAGTTGTGCCACTGCTGCAGCTTTCTGTTACCTTCCCATTTGGGATTAGAATGACCCATCTATCACGGACTACATTGGGTAACCTTATGCTGGAGTAGAAACCAGAGCTGTGGCAAAGGCCACATGCGCAAACAAGCACACACACACACAAACACATGCAAACATGCACAAGGGCCACTAAATAACCAAGTAAAACAGAGGGGAGCAATCTAATCCTAAAGATTGTTCATTCTGGAGACAAGTGTGTGACTGTCTATAAGGTGTCTCTCTGCGACTTAAGTTTGGTGCTCAATATCTTCTGGACTGGAACGGTGTGACTAGATCCTCAGATGTCTTCATGCTTGACTAACTTACCCAACAAACACAGAGACACACACACACCCAGGTAGTATCCATATCTCACTTATTTACAGTATCACGATGAATATTTGATATTCGACAACTCCATTAACGTGTTCAACACAGCGCGGGGGAGAAGGAATGCTGAGCGGGCGACAGTGCCACAGCTTTCCACCTTTTATTTTAAACTCAGCAGAGCTCCTTTATTATCACTTCCTTCAACCCTTCCTTTAACTGTAAGCTCCGTCTAAGCTGCACACCTTAAGAACATGAATCTTTAATAACTTTCAGTTTAAATTACTGTCTGACGTGTTCCGTCACTGAAGCAGAAAAAAGAGGGCATTTAACCTCTTAAGGGGCCCCCAGGCATTTGTTAGCAACCGCGGAGATTATAGATGATCTCATGTCACATTCCACCAAGCAACACTCGGACACACTCGCCATAACTCCCTGTCTGCACGCCATAAAACATATTTACACACACAGGCATGTAGGGAAGCCACGACTCAGCTTTTACAATTGCGAAAGCATGTGTGAACAGCTACCGTGGAGAGTCTTGTCAACACCGTTGAATCAACATTTGTTCTGTTTCTGTTCACATTTGCGTAATTGTGGGATAGAATAAGACTTGTTTTATGTCCTTCAGTCTAAGGATGCAAATTAGTGTCATCATATGAACTTACCATAAATCCTGTGACCTTACAGTGATGACGACAATACCCTACAGTAATATATATGTCAAAAAACTTAGTCAAACCTGCAGAAAGAACTCCATTTTAGTGTTCTTATTGCCAAACTATCTGTCATTATATAACATTTATATTCAGTATTATTATATTTTCATCACAAACCACTGACTGTGCATATCAATGCTGATAGACGACAGCAAATGTATTATATACATGCAAATGCCATAGCAAAAAAAAGGGGAAAAATAACTTATATATATTAGTTTGGGGTTGATATTGATAGAAAACTCCTTTTCTAGCTGCCAAGACTCCTGCACGTCATACAACTCTTCAGGATACAAATGAACAACAATATTCTTTTTTGATTTATTGCTCACAAACAAAAGCACAAACTTTTCTGACTGTAATGACATTGAAACTGATAAAGTGTTAACGTCTACATCCTGGAATTTAAGATAGCCCCTATTTGCTAGGATCTAGAATTACAATGTCTCACTACATTAGAGGAGTTCATGTGGGGATAACAGGGACTCAACAGAGCAGTGAAAAGTGGAGGAATAAAAAGTTAGCCAACATATATGCGCAAATGCTTCCAAATGCTACGGAGCAGTGAGGACAAAACGCAGCGTGACCTTGACCTGTGGCAGCACAGCGTAAAACAGAGGTGTCATGTGGGGCCCATGCCAACCCATGGGGGCGTAACTATTCTCGCCCTGCTATTAATACACAGGGAGTCATAGTGAGAAAAACTCATGAGATAACAACTCTTGCTACATGTGATGCTCTGAAGCTCACAAACACAGGCAAGCAATGCACACAGTGGAGAGGGGAAAAAAAAAGACTGTATGAGACAATATTGGGATCCGCATCAGAAATATGGTAATGCATGCTGTGCTGAGCTGTACATTTAGTGAGCTTTCCCCTGTGACTTTATCACATGTGTGTAAACAGGAGCAGATGTTCAGGCAGCTCCAGCTTAAATGCAAGTCAATCCTTTGCTAGCTGGTTGGCAAGGAAGGCATGTATGTATCTGATATTTAACTTAGAGAGCAATATATTTAGTTGCATCCCACTGAGTGAACATTAACCTTTTTAATGCAACAGAGGGTGTGCTGTATTAGCCACTGTGTACTGCTGCTGCTGTCTTAACGAGACTGTTGACTTTGGACCTTTTAAAGCATTAAAAGTTTAAAAGCAGAGGTTAGTTTAAGACCAATACAATTTCTTACTGCTTTAATGTTTCCCACACTTTAAGCTCTGACATTAGCTAATGGGTTTTCATTGTTTTTTGTGTATGTGTGTGTGTTTTTTTTCTTTCTGTCTCTGTGTGTGTGTTGTCTGTGATGCCCTTCTGTGTGTTTAGGTATCTTCAGTAATTTTACTCTGGCTTGAGGCCTCAGAGGCTTTTTACAAAAAAATTCAGATGATATTCGACATGCAGCTGATGAGTGAATATCCATCCATTATCTATACATCGCTTAATCCTCACTAGGGTCGCGGGGGGGCTGGAGTCTATCCCAGCCGACTTAGGGCGAAGGCAGGGGACACCCTGGACAGGTCGCCAGTCCATCGCAGGACCACACTTAAAGACAG